CCCTGCTCGGAGCCCCTGTGGGGACGGGCCTCAGCGCCGGGCAGATCCCCCGTAACCCGCCCCCCGACGATCCTCTCTCCTTCCCGTGGCCCCTCTTCCCTCCTTGGCTATTTATTGCCGTTTCGCTGTGGTTTATTGTCCCCAAACTGGCTTAGCTCCACTTGGAAGCGTCACCTGGAGCCCCCTGTGAACATGGGCGTCCTGTATCCCCCGTGGGGCTTTTAGCCCTTTCCCTGGAGTCCTGTCGGTAGAGAGAGGCCCCCGTGCTGAGGGGGTGCGGGAGACCCGGGTGGCAGGAAGGAAACCAGTTGGGCCCACAGGCAGCTGGCGCTGCTGGTGGAGGGGCTGAAACCACGTTCCCCTTGGATCCAAAGCGAGCAAAATCCTCTGATTTTCCTGTTTTTCTAGTGAGGGAGCAGCTGAAGGAGCTCACCAAGCAATATGAAAAATCAGAAAACGATCTCAAGGCGCTGCAGAGCGTTGGGCAGGTGCGTAAGGGGAATGAGGCTGCAGTTCCATGTGGCGATGGTGACGGTGACCTCGAGTAGAAGTGGCCGTTCTTGGGCGCGTTTGTGATACCAGAAAGAATAAGTGGGAACCACGCAGTTAGTAGAGACAGGTGTCATTGTCAAACGCAGACAGACATGGAGAGGTTTTCTCTGTCCTGGTCAGAAGAGAAGCATTAAAGAAATTAAAGTCCAGGTAGATCAAGTTAAACTGGAGAAAGAATATGGAAGATAACTGTTAGGATCAAGATTGTGGCACATGTTGATTATTTATTTGTAGCTGTAACCTACCTGTATTCTAAGGCTTCACTTATCGTTTTGCAGATTGTTGGTGAGGTTCTTAAACAGCTAACAGAAGAGAAATGTAAGTACGCTGGACTATGATGTTATTTGAAATTTTGAAAATAAGCTTTTGTAGTGAAAACTTGGCTAAAGACTTGGAATAATAAGATACTAAAGTGTCAGTGATTTATATATTGGCATACTGATATAACACTTCTGCAGCGTAATTGAAAGCATTGAGTAAAAAATTCTTTTTTTTTTTTTAATCTTCTCTCTGTAGTTATTGTGAAGGCTACGAATGGACCAAGATATGTGGTTGGCTGTCGCCGTCAGGTAGCTGATTTATGTGAATACTCACAAATTTATGTATTAATGTTGCTTTTTGATCAACCATGCTCCTAGTGGGATTAAGTGTGTTTTTTTTTCTTCTTCTCTTTTCTGATGTGTTTGTATGTGTTCTGGTGGTATCTGTTTCCTTTTCTAACTGGTAGTGCCGTAACTTCTTAGTAGAGATGAAACAGTTCACAACACTGTATGTGTTTATCCTTCCCATCAAATTGAAGCTCCCTCTTTCTGTCTGACTTTAAACTGTTTGAAAATTGTTTGTCATGACTTCAAACTGTCTAAAGTCTCCATCCAAGTGACTTTCTCTTCATTGAATGTTACTGTTGTTGTGCAAAGCTTTACACTTAAACTGTGTATTTTTTTCTAATAATTTATTCTCTAGATGAATATATAATTATGGTAGGCAAGGCCCCTGTTCTACAAAGATTTGTAAGATTTCTTTGTTGTCTTTAATGAATTTAGGAAAAACTTAGTGCTTCTAGTCCACAGGACATCACTCTGTAGGAATGGGACACTTCATAGAGTTTTGCTTGAGAAATAATTAATTTACTGATATAGGCAGCAAGAACTCTCTTAGAGTAGTCTTTTTACATATATATATATACACAAAAATAAATATAAAAATACAAGGGATACATTGTAAATGTGACTTGTTGGTTAATTGACCATTTAATGTGACCCATTTATTGTAATCATCGCTCCTTAGATCAGCTACTTCTTACCAAAATGGTCTGTTAAGTAGGAACCACAATATATAATGAAAGCTTTCCACAGCTTTAGAGCCTCTGGGGGGAGGAAAAGAACCTCTGGGTAGGTTTTAGTACATTCATCCCCAACTTTGACAAATGGATGTGGATAAAAAAT